GGAGGACGGGTGCTTCACGCTTGGGTAAATTAACAACTCGTCACTCACAAAACCACGCTCTCGGAGGCATTCGATGCCGTTTTGTCGGCACGGAACGGATGCTGCGACACTGTGATATTGAAGCCGTGATTGTTGGGCAGATATAGATGCATGGTCGTTCGGGCAGGCGTGTTCAGGCAAAGGGCTGCCATGCACGTCTTGTGCAGAAAAACCGAACCGAATATGCAGTACAAAGTGAGAGTTCTCAATTTTGCGGGAGCCGTAGCTTGAAGCTTGGGGGGGTGACCACCACCCCCTTTCCTTTTCCTGACTCCCCCACAACCACCACCACCCCGCCACAGTAATAAGAATAGACGCATACTCGTACTAATACTAATGCTGACACGAATACTAACACTAATACTCAATACTTACTGGTACTCATACTAATACTTCTACTACTCCTACTACTCCTACTCCTACTACTACTACTACTACTACTACTACTACGACTACGACTACGACTACGACTACGACTACGACTACTACGACTACTCCTACCACCACCACCACTGCCACGACTACTACTAATAATAATACTAATAATAATTGTAGTAGCCATGAGATTAATTTAATCTTAGTGCAATTATGTTTTCCCCCTACGGGACAGGTGGGGTGGTAGCATGTCCCCCCTGCCCCCTGCATGAGAGGAGGGATCCGGGGGCGGTAACCCCTCCCGAGCTGAGCCAGCGGAGCCCGTTGCGGAGGACTATCGTACAGTGGGATGCCGGCTTCCCCCGAAATCAACCTTTGCCAAAACAAGTGCAAGCATGATTTTGTTCTGGGTCCGTCCACCGGCCGACCAAAACTTCTAATCAAAGACCATTATCCTGCTGCTGAATCAAGATTTCAAGCATGTCTTCTCCAATCTCTGCTCTTAGTCTTGCCGCTCATGCCACTTGCTTCTTAGGGTTAAGAAGTTTCGAGGCCGATCGATTGGTGCTTGGCGATGGTCCACGCAGGCCCAATACTCGTTTGCAAGTAAAGTTCAGCGGCTAACTAGGGATCAACGGGAATGTTGTCCACCATCGAGACCTGACACTGCTACAGTCAACAATATTAATCTTGATGGAAACTTCACATGCATGCGCTTACGAAACTACCGGGCCTGTTTATTCCGCCCGTAAGCACTGGCGGAAGCGGAGCTGGATTGACTACAGCTTCGCTTGGAGGGAAAGTTCAACCCACAGTAGGACAAAAAGAGGGCTCCCCACCCACCTACTATCTGAAACTTAGCTCTTGAACACACAGGGCACGGAGGACCGGACGAAAGGCGACGTCTTCAGTTTTATGGGGATCACGGAAAAGTGGCACGAGATAGAGAATGTGCTGGTATGACCGGGGGGAATCAGGAAGCGGAAGATGCAAAGGGCTGAAACCTGGGAAGCAAGACACACACGTACGACTGACACGACGGGTGATCCACAGCCAGGCCAATGGTGTATCATCACCCTCATGCCTTCCGTGAGTTGCTTCACTTGGTGGGTCGGGAAACGATCAGTCTGGAACATGGCTTGGATCAAAGAGTCCGGCACGCACTGTGCTCTTTGTGGTGACAACTGCCTCATGCTAATTGGTGGGTTGAACCCTAATTAGACAGATAAGCCAGATATTCAGGACGAAAGAAGCAACATAGGATTCAGAAGCCAGAAACAAGACACATGAAAGCATGGCGGCCAGTAGCTACAGCGGGTAGACAATCATCTGAAGAAAACGCGGACCACATGATGACACGTGTCGATGTCCACACTTGTGCATCTAAGCCCAAGGCTCGCATCTCTGGAACTCGTGACGATGCTGCCTCAGTAATTCCGGCACCTGGCAGATCGAGCTAAGCGAGGTAGCCGAGGCAAGGGTAACTAACACGCTTGTCTGCACATGACTGCACGAGCCTGCCAGAAGATTCGACAGACCTGAAGCGGCTTGTTTCTCGTAGACACTTTTGGATCTTCTGGGCATTTACCAGGATCCAGATGTGTTCGTGGGAGTGTCACTGCAGCTTAGACCCTTCGACTGTGAAGTGCGCGAAACTGAACTTGTGCCCCCGGCCATTGCGCAGACTGCTGCGGAACTGCCACAGTTGATCGGGTTGTTTCGCAGCTTCCCAGACATCAAGCCTTTGCAGGATACCGCATGCAGTGACGTGCACCCCTGCGACTGTCTTGCCTTTGTCGGAACTGGGGCTCAGGTGCCTGGTACACTCAATGCACTCCGGGGTCAGCACAGGTCAGCGAAGTCGCACTCACCCGTGTCATCAACACGCTCTGCGAGAGCTTTGACACAGGCCTGGCAGCAACAAGACGAGCCAAGCCGGACAAGCGACGACCCATAATGACCGGTCTTCAAGCTTCTACGCACATGCATGAACACCTCAGCATGCAAGCGTACAAGGGCACGTAGGAGAAAAAAGGTTGGAGGAGTGTCTGGACTCCAACTTGACGCACACTGACTCCAGTGACGGACTGCAACAAAGGCATCCAACCCCAACCATGATCGAGAATGATCTGACAAAGCCCTGCTTGCCTCCGCATGATTTCGGGAGGAAACAGACGCCAGCGCATCGCAGAGGTCGTCTGCGGCCACGGTCGCGGGATCGCACGTGGACACAGGATGAATCGGTAGTTCTGCCAGATCAGAAGGACAGGCCGTGCTGGTCCAACCTACCCGCCTGCTGATTCTAAGCTGACCATCATCGAACCCGCCAAGTTGTGGTCAATGCTGACGAAAACGTCCTGCCATGGTTGATTGGAAAAGTGTAGCAGATTTGGAGCAAGACGGGCTCGGCTTTCGAGGTTTGACCAAAGTCTAAGAGCGGGGTCCCAGAGTTGCTTTTCTTCCGCTGTCAGCTCAGAGGACACGGCTTCGTGGCCTAGGAAGTGGAAGTTTCAAGGGAGGCGCCAAGGTACTGGCAAGGCTGAGTAGCACACACCCAAGGAGGTGTCCAACAAGACGTGCACGGACCTATGCAGTGGAGGAAGCAGCAGAACAGGCTAGCTAGCAGGAGACACCAAGGTGCTGGCAACTGCAGAAAAAAGAGGTGATTGCGCCTGAGTCTCAAAGCTTCGTGTGACGACCTGTGAACTTGAGGAAATCCTGCGACGATGAAATGAAGGTCTGCTCGCAAAGCCCGGTGGGCTTCAGGATGCTCCGTGACGAGTGAAAGTCGTAGCTGCTATGACATTTGTCGAGGCTGCGGATTCGTGAGATCACGAGAATGAGAAGGGCTCGAAGACCTAGGAGCGTGCCAGCCAGGGCAGGCAAGAACCGGAATGGATCCAGGTGTGGTCGACGAATTAACCGAAAATCCATTTCAACGTCCGCAAGCAGATAAACATGTGGCATGTCCTCAGAATGATGCAAGCTCACGGTTCGATCGACGGAAAAAACTGTCCGCTCGTCGCAGTCGTCTCGGTACTACACTTCCATAATATGACGCTGACGCGCACTTCAAGATGTGCCAGGAACAGTGTAGCTACATAGACTCCCTCCTGAGCCTTGTGAACTTTGCGAAACAATGGCTTCGGAATTTTCGAATTTTAAGTACGGCGAGCACGCACGAAAGATTCCAGCCTGAAGCTATTCAGTTGCTTGCGCAGCAGGCATGAGACTCGGACGCCAAACGCCTGAGAAGAGCTTGCACTGGTTGCATCATCACCTGGCATGTACGAGCCGACAAGCAGTCCAAGAGATCAGCAAGGACCCCCCACCCGAATCTCAACAGTGATCCGAAGCAACGCTTGAGGGCCTGCGTCGCCCGCAGGACCCGCGGCTTGGGGCTCCTGCAAAAACCATCCGTGTAAGCTGCAAACCGATTGAATTAAATTAGTTAAATCTAGCTGGCAAGACAGCTAAGCTGCCGAGATGATAAGAAAGGAAATGAAGAGACTCCAGAGTAGTACGGCGGCATTGAAGAGAATTGCCTCTTGTGCTGTACTGGACACTACTTTAGTCCCTGACCACCGAATGCAGTTTCGCCTGTGGAATGCAAAGCCGCCAGAGCCGCGGAAAGGCAGCCAGGAGGCCACCCGGGGTGTTCTGCGTGGCGGATACCGATTCCAATGTCGAGAATCTTCGCTAAACTGTAGCATGCAACCCGTCCCTACCGCACAACCTGTGCACATCGCGATAGGCCCTGGGCACGAACTGGACTAAGTTGCAGTTTCTCGTTTCTCGGGCAGCCTCAGGGTCTGGGACTTCCTCCAGCAACTGCCTGAAGGGCAGATGGGCCTGTGCCAAGACACAGCTGTGACAGATTTGCAGTCTAGAAGGACCCAGACTTTATAGCTTTGCTGGGCCTCGTTCATCAAGGTGTCCAAGCTGGTGGAACTGAACCTGCCGGCCAAGCCAAGACTTGGGCCACGCTACATGCACTCGCAACAGCCACCTGATTTCGGACACAGCCAAGTGCTACATGCTAGCAGCTGAGCCAACGTAACGCCGTGAAGGTATCCATGATCTCTGAACCTATCAGACAAATTGATGCGCCTGTCGGCCTGGCTCGACGAAGCAGCCTGTAGTGCCGTTGACAAAGTGTCCATCAGCATGTCATTTGTACCGCTGTACCCTTACAAGGCCTGAACTGCACAGAGAGAGGGACAGAAAGTGCATTCAGCATATGGAAAAATCTGCACACCTCTAGGTATCGCACTAGCATTAGTCCAATACTTGATTCTGAGCCTAGAACTCCGGCAACAGTTCCTGGACCCTGCATGTCAGCTGGCAGCTGTAGGCGGGAGGGCCACCTCACTCGAATGCTCGTGATCACGAGCCCCTCGCCAGCTGGCCTCAGCGCTCACGGAGGGCGGACTAGTGTCACAAAGGAAAACCCGTTTGCTAGAACCAGGGCGTGTCACAGCCTGAGCTTCTGAAGAACACATGTCCAAGCCCGGCGGTGCCTGCCTCGGGCGTCGGTACCGATCTCAAGGCTTCCGTGAACGATGCCACCTCACTTGCAACCACAGGAGCCGCTGGAAGTTTCAGATTCTGTTCTGCAGACGGGCCCGGCTGGAATGGGGGTTAGCAGGGCGGGGGATGTTTGCATGGTACGCTACTCGCTCGCTTTCAAGTTTCTAAATCCTTGGTGCTGTCCTTACAGGCGAGACATCATCTTGAGCAGGTGATGCACGCTAATTACCTAATTACCGTCTCTTCAATCAGGCCGAGGCGGCTGGTTCAATGCATCGCATTGCAGTCTGAGACGAGCTGACTGCGTTGCCGTGAACACGCCAAATGCTCGGCAGGAATCTTCTGAGGGGCAGCTACGTACACTGGGTTTAAGTGCGGGACCCTACCTCTACAAATCAGTCTTAAGCCGCTGCACACTTACGACTCACGAACTACACAGGGCTGGCAGGCCCATGCAAGAGCTCTGATTCGAGCTTCCGGCAACACAACTTTCAAGCAGAAAATTGCAGAAAGGAGCTACCGTAAAGAGTCAGAGCAAACCGCCCAAAGTTAGAGTCGTTTCTCCAGACCGTGTGACGTCAGACTGAAAGCCCTTAGCAGTGCAGCTGCTGCTTGGCAAATTAGACTGCAGGCGCTGATAACCGTGGCAAGCCCGAAAGCGGCAATGTGGCAAACGCACTAGCCTAAATCAGACTTGTAGTACTGTGTCACAATGACTTCGACCGCAATCTGCTCGATGTATTCCATGATCGCGGATCCAAGGTACAACTCTGTTAGCAGCCATAGAGTGCCGGAACATGTTTCCAACAAGCCTACTTGCCACGACTACGAGCCCTGAGCAGCCAACGCCAGCTGAGAAGTCCGAGGACAGCCTCAAACGACAGTACACAGACTTGCGCAAACTTAGCCGTCCGTACGAGGTCTACAGATGTCTACAGTACCCCCCAAGTGCGAAACTCGGATCCTTTCGAGATGTTGGAAATGGACTGTACGGCGCAATGACATTTGATCTGAGGACTAATCGCTCCTAGTTAAAGAAAGCTACATGGTTCATGCACGGATCCTGACCGATGTCTGAAAAACGGAGATCGGCTTGAGGATTCCGGAATTCTGTACGGCTGCCGCGAGGATGTGGAGCATCAATTGTACTCTCGAACGCTTCTTCCGTGCCTGTGACACAGCTACACGGTTTGAAGGAACATATGAGAGTTATGCAGCGAACAAATGGCAAAGCAACGACTGTATGGCATAGTGACATAACTAGTGGACATCAAAGCATGATCCGAACGAACGAACAGATTCTTGGCAACACAGGGCTAGTAAATAGTTGCAGACACACGTACTAAATGATTCGATCGTCCGTCGTTTCTTGTTGAGAGAGGCCGCCAGCATGACCCACAGAATCCAAGTACTGGAAGATTGTTGTGATTCCATTAGCAAAAGCTGCCTATCCAATTAGCCCGGAGAATGTTTGAAGATGCCAGCGACAGGGGAACACGAAGTCCAAAACATCACGAGTCAGTTGTGAAGCATTTGCACTCACAGCGGGGTGGCTGACTCGGAAACATTGCCTTCCCGAGAGTGCTCACATCCTAATACCGGCGGTAGGGCCACGACCTCTTCCAGCTCTTGGCCAAGTCCGCTGCATCAAACAGTGTCCCGCGTCTTGCCTCACGGAGGTGTGCTATCAGCCACCAGTCATCTCTTTTCCGTGGCAATCCAGCAGCCTGCCTGAGACTATAGACTATAGGTAATCCGTAACATAGGAGACATGAGGCCTGCGAAGAGGTCGCCTACGACTCTGCAGCGAAGCCTTCAGCCAAACTTTCCTGCAATTCGTATCAACCACGGTCACGAGAGAGAACTGCCCAGGTTTCTGCAGCACAAAAACTATGAATACCTACATACACCCATTGGTTTGATATAGGCTTCGTGGTGCTTGGACTTGCATTGGTGGTAAGGACATGGGTGATCATGGGTGTCACAAGCGCCTTCGTCACGCTATCGTTGTTGCTCGGGTGCCTGACCTCCTGTGAGGGAGGGGACGAGCGATCAACAGAAGACTCGGAAGTGTTGTCAAACACAGATTAGGAAGATGCGTCAGCAAAGCAGCATGTCCACTTGCTCCTCCGGATCAGCCTCATCCTTGCTTATTAGGACCTGGGCTGGAGAATCAGCTTGGGAGTAGCACGGACTACTCGCAGCAATGCTCCTGTGCCAAGGTAAGCACCGTCGATTGGAAGGAGTCCTGCGACCAATTTCGTGCACTCTGGGCACTGCTCACACTTCTACTGCAAGTTCACACATGCTGCACTCAGCTACATTGAAGTCTCCACGCAAGCCCTGAGGGTAGACATGGCTTGGTGCTGCTCATGGTCATGATGGTCTGCTACCCCGGTTGGCTTAGTTTTTTGCTGCATGATGCACGTGCCACACATGACAAGCTGCTATGCGCCTAGCGCTACAAGCTCATGTTACCCTGGGTCCCGCGACGAAGGTGGAGTCGCTTGTGGGACCTCTGGGCGGGCCCAGAGGTTCGCCACCTTCATGCCAACCCATAGAGGCACTCAGACTCACGCGCACGAGTCAGTTCTGAAGTCCTGAGGATTTCTCGCTTTGACAAATCGCTACTGACAGGAGCTCTAATGGGTCTTCTCGGAGTGGCGAGGCGAAGCCAAGGCTGCACCCCTACTAAGAGGGAACCTCGTCTTGCTATTTTGTGGAACAACTATGGTGCATAAACCAACTCCAGACTTGGCTTCCGTTGGCCTAAACACATGCAAATCATAAAAGAAACGAATCTTGTGTCTTCTCTTGTTTCATGCGCCAGTAGTATGGCAAGTTCTCGAGCAAATGGTCTTTGTCGCCTCACCCCTGTCCCTGGCAGGATTGACTTCTGCACAAGCCTGCCTCTGCCCAAGCCATTCGAAAGCACCTACCTGAAAGGCATGGGCGCACCCCTTCTGTAAGGCTTTCCAGCAAGGATCGCCGGTTCGGGCTCGACCGTTCGTTCCTGCCGGCCTCAAGGCATGTGGAAAAAACAACATGAACAAGCATATATCACATTGGTGTGCTTCAAACGTCCGCGAGTGTAAGTAAAATATGAATGGCAAGCTCGAAATTGTCTTCAAGGCTGTGATGTTTCGATTCCGGTATTCACGCTGCTCACCTCAACAAGACATGGCGAAAGAGGACTTCGAACCCTTGGCCCAAACAGGCCTGGTTCTCTCGCGCGGAGCTCTCTGAGGGGACGCTCCGCTCGCTGCCTTCAATGAGAACCCGGGCTTTGGCTCACAAAATGAGGCAGGTATGCACCTAAGTGTTCTTGATCATGCCGGACAAGACTAAATGTGCGACGATCGATACGAAATGGGCCGAAGCTTCATAAGCCCAATCCATGGGGCAGTCCAAACAAGCCTGCAGCCCGAGATGAACGTCGGCGTTTCATGTAGCCGCCGCTTGAGCTCCTGGTCAATGTGTGTTTTGTGCTTCGTTCCTGTGTTCGTCATGCCTCTGACTTGTCTAACAAGTTCGAACTTGCAACACCTGTCTCACTTGTCATCATGTGACGACGGGTCACCACCAACAGAAAGCTATACTCGAGAATAGATACCCTGCTACATGGGCCGAAGAACAGCATTCAGCAAACCTGACCAGAAATTGAGTGAACTTGAGGGAGGAGCTTCCGAACAGACCAACCTCTACCAGCAGCCATGAGCAATGATGACAAACTGCTGCCGACCTTGTCTCCTCTCCGAAAAGGAATCTGTCTTCTGCAGCCTGCTCGGCGGACAGATATGACTGGCTTCGACTGGCTTGAGTCGAACGAGCATGTACTCCTCGTCCGGGCTGCTTTCGTCTGTGGACCAGGCATGGGCTGCCTCACTACGCTCGTGTGAAGCACTGTCACAAGAGCTCATCTGATTGCTCAGCTGGTTGCCATCGCTGGGTTGGGTGGCATCAACGAAGGCGTGCTGCTTTCGCTGTGTGGGCTTTGGCCACGACCCAGCACCCTGCAAGCAAGCTCATTTGTTGCAGGGACTTCAAGCAGGCCATTGCATCGATTCAGAGCACTCGGCAATGTTTGGGATGGCACGGAGACGGAACACGCCGATGAATCCCAAAGCGCCCACCACAGGGCCACGGGATGCTTACACCGACATCTGGACACGGACCGTGCATAGCTTCAAGACCAAGAGCTTGAACATAACTCCACCGAAACGACCCCGGCCGGCGCCTTTGAGCAGAAGTTCCCTTGCCGCGACCTGTCTCACTAGGTCTCAGACGCTTGCTCTGCTTCAAAAACTCTTGGCAACTGATCGTTGTGGCTTCTCCGTTGTGCTCCGATTAGGTTCAACAGCTTCAAACTTTAGGGCTCCAAAGCGACAACCGAGCTGCAAAGGCAGTAGACAACCTCCTGTCAGTAGCCCGTTTCCCACCTTCAGATGCGCTACCCTTGCCTCCGCTGTCGGTGCCTTGGCACGGCCGAAAACTGAGGACAATCCAAGATCTCAGTCAGCTCCTACTGCAAGTAGTCTAAGTCCGTCTTCTGCGTCCCACACTCGTCTTTCGCGGATCACAAAATTCAAAACTTCTGCCAGCAGGTTGAGACAGGCATGAAGTAACCAGACACAGAAGAACCCTTTCGGATCCACCCAGCAGGTTGCTCTTACCTCGTCAGCGAATGCTGTTAGTGTTCACCTGTCGCATGTCTGAAAAAGTTTCCCGGAAGCAGGATCGCGCCAAAAGACTCAATTTTCGACTACCAAGAAGCCATCCAAGATCATCCAAGTCAACCAAGTAAAGCTTCTTGCTTAACTCTGTGTCTCCCGAAACCGCCCAGCAACTTGCGAGAATCCTGGAGGACAAAGCTCGAGAAAACCACCCGAATACCCCTCCATGAGCCAAGATCAAATTATGAGAGGAATCTGGTTTGACACGAACAGGACACGAGCGTAAGGTCGAGGCCGCTGCTAGCACCTGAACTGGATGCTTCGGGATCGAGAACAAAACTTGGTTTGATGTATTGATATTTTGGATTGGCTTGTGGTCACCTACGGGCCTGTCTGCAAGAGATACTTGACGCAGTTGGAAACACTCAAACTGATCTACACTGCCAGTGATAGGTTCTGAATTTCTCCACGCTGTCCGATTTCTGGTTTTGTCCGAGCCACCTCGAACGCGCGCTTGGCCCGGACTGGGTCGTTCAGCTCCTGCGAGATACGACTTGTGCCTCTTATCAGCTCACAGCCCGAAGCTGGTCCGACCTGGCATCACCCGCACAGCGTAAAGTCGAGCATACGCACCTTGGCACAGGCACAGGGTTTCTTGAGCCATGCTTTCTAGGATCTCGCACATCGCTTCGCAAAGTCAAGGCCATCTTTTTGTTTCTCTGCAGGCCGAGAGTTCCGACGCTTGTCTCCTTGGCTGCGCACCACGGTGCCACTAGCGCTACCAGTATCACACTTGGCAAAGCCAGGACTCTGCCCTCGGCGAGGACCTTGTAGCCGGGATGGTGGGCCCACTTGGCACGGAAACTCGGGCCTCAAACAAAACCAGCTGACAGATGCCGTGAACAGAGCTTTGATCCTGAGCCCTCAGCCACTCATCCACACCTTTAGGTGTAGATGCCGAATATTTTGGAATGAGCCAGCATTGAGGCGCATGCTCTCAAACTGATCAGCATCCTGATGGATGTGCAACAAGCATGATTGACTTGGACTGGCTTCTGCAAGATGGCTATGCAGCTCGGAACGATGAAGATGGCATACTGCCCTGACCACACATGCAAGCACCTTCTGGCCCCACTGGTCATCGATAACATCCAGTGCCAGAGACCAAAGCTCAGCCAGTTCGTCATCACTGCAGTCCGACTGAAACTGCACCTTAAGGCAGGGGTCAGTGAGGCCAGTGCAGGAGCTGCTAGATTCTAGATGTTCCGCCGAGCTTCGCAGCGGTTCGGGACCACAACCAAGATCGGACGACCCTGACAAATCACAAGAGTCACAAGAGCTCAAGTGTGGCCAAGATTCGACAGGGGAGTGCGACAAACTGCATTTGGAAACTCCCGGCTCCTGTGCATCAAGTACACAACGGGTGAAAGCACCAGCACGAAGGGTAATGTCACGGGATGTAATCGGCAGCTTCACTTGCCTGAAGGGATGGAGCTCAAACAAGTTGTTAAGGCATCTTCTGAAAAGGCGATAGGACAGGCTAAGCAGGTACAAATACAAAGCTTGAAGCTTGCATTTTATCGACCTGCTTCCTGCCGGATGCATCCATGTAGTCAACGAGGGCGTCCAAACTCAGCAGGTTGTCCGCATCTGCACGTGGCGGGCACAAGATGGTCTGTGAACACTGACATGCACAGTCCAGAACTGGGAACGCGGCACCTGAAGGCTCTCGCTTGCGATCGCTGTCGGCAAAGACAAACACCGAAAAGCCTCTTGGACTTCGCATGTCCGTGGCAACCGAGGAATTGCGTGCACGCTTGACGGCCAGCCTGCTTGGCGAATGTGGGCCGCCAGCTGGTCGCTCAGTGGAGGTAGAAAACGCCCCCCATGCTCGCTCCCTGTGGATAGCTCTGAGCCTGCAGAAACTCGGAGATGATAGCTTCGGTGGCCCTCCACCTTCTCAATCAGGTGCAAGACTTGGCGCATGAAGCTCACAAAAGCTTCTCTGTTCCTGACCAGATTTACGAAGCTGCCGCAGCCCTCACGGGGTGCGAGAAGATACGCTGACTGTTCACCACGGCTGGCAGAGAAGACCAAATCCGCGCACTCAACGCACTCGGATGCTGCCACCATTGCCATGGACTCTGCTAACTTACGGCATACTCAGACCATCGGTATCTTCCATTTGCCTTCGGCACGGAACACAATGTGCTTCGGACGAGGAGCAACGGCTCCGTAAAGAAAATGCGAAAAACGGAGCTTCGTCAGCCAAGCACGCTAGTCAGGCACAGCGATCAATTACTATAGAGAGAGAGAGAGGGGGAGAGACAGAGAGAGAGCGAGGAAGGTAGGGAGGTCTGGCCAAGACAACTCATCAGGCACAGGAGGACTTGCTCGGCTCCGCGGATCTGAGGTGCAGGCGTGCAGAAGATAACTTAGCAAATCGACATCTGCTGAGGGACCGGGTTGTTTGCAGATGTCCCTGGGTATATCAGCTTAAAAATCTAGAATCTAGAGCTCGGAAATGTGCGCAACACAGTGATGTTCCATCTTCTATTCCTTTGATCTTCGTCCATGCTGGCCACACAAACCACCCCTGCAGCAGGACCGAGCGAGGAAGAAGTGCCTGCTTTGCAACAGTGTTGTAAATCAATTGCCGATGCTGTGCAGGCGCCACTTTGGTTGCGACCGCTTTCGAAGCTGCGAAACTCCTCCGAGACATTCTAAGGCGATCTGGAAATGTACCTGGTGAATAAGACTCTGAGGACAAACGTATGTCCCACACCTTCTTGCAGACGAAGTTTAACACACTGGAGCTTGTATTGCATTGATACAATGACCTCTCGTGACCAGGAAGACATGATCGTGAAAGCTGCGCGATACGTCAGCGCGAGTCCGACTCAGGCCTCCGGGCCTTGGAAAAGCAGGAGCTGCCTCAATGCAGATCGTAAAACGAACACCGCTTGCGCAGTGCAGGCTGTCAATCAGAACGATAAAGCAAAGCTTCTCGAGGAAGCGTTGAAAGTGTAAGCACAACCAGGGCCACCCAGGCCTGGGCGCTGGGACAAGCCCTCCGATTCAAGAGCAAGTGGCAGGCGCCGCAGAGACCCGCATACAAAGCGCCATAGACGTGCCCCGCATAATCAACCGCCGCATACTCACGCTCCGGGTGCAGTGAGACAATAGCGGGAAAGAGGCGAAGCAAACAGTGGACTGCAAGCCAAAGACTGACTGCCTGTGCCACCGATATCGATACTGGTGACCGATATGCAGCAAATACTAGCAGGGCTGCCAGAAACGCTGCAGCGAATGGGTATTCTCTAATTCTGCTGCTTCTCGGCGAAAATACTTCTGGCAGGACTCGAGCCGCCAGCAACAAAGAGTTTGTGACAGCGGAACTGGCCCCGAAACAGTCTTTCAGGCCACGGTCTCCAGCGACAAGAATCGCCAGGACAGCAGCCCCATACACGCAGGAGCTGGCTCCTCGGCTGTTGGAAAGGTCTGCCACCGCATCCACGTGATGCCTGCAATGGGCGAACATGACGAATATGTGAACATGCTGTGACGTATCCTGTCGAGGCTCCACAGGCAGCTCAGACACCCCCTTGCCTGGGCATGGCTGCATAGTCTGGGCTGTTCCGCAACGTCCGCCGCAACGTCAACCAGCTGAAGACGGCTCCAAACGCCCCGGAGATTAAGTATGCAGCGACGAAAACAAGCGTTCCCAACTCCTCTTCTGCTGGAACACCCACAAGTAGTAGGAGAAACACTTCTCGCAAAAGGTGCGAGTGTGTGCCTTAGAACGCCGGTGATTGTCAAACGAATCTTTGTTCGAGCTCGCTCAAAGATGTGACTCAGGCTGGGGCCATGAAAGAAGCTGCAAGAGATGAGAACCCAAAACTTGCCGTGGAGCAGTGCATCTCCACTGAAGTCGAAAAGTTCGCTGCATTGTTTCCGACAGCGCAAGCAGTGCTCTAGCGTGTGTGCCTCAGGTAAAACGTGTAACAGTTGTGTATCGCAGAGCATGCTTGAAGCCAAACACAAAGCAAGTCGCGCAAACAGTGCCGCTCGCCAGAACCAGAGAGCCCCATGGCACCATGGCCGTGTGTCGCTCAGCAAATGTCATCTGTCGCTCCTGCACTTCTGCCTCTCGCGTGCTACGTCTGATTAGATGGCTCCTACCACAGCCCGTTGCTGTGGGTGCTGCCGCCCATGATTCTATTGCGCAAGCGGAGCTGCGATGCAATACAGCTCTTACAGGTTCGATGTGCTGGAAACAAAGCTTGAAGCAAGGCAGCATCATCATGATACTCTTGACTTGATACAGGGAACGACAAGTATAGCAAGCAAGCATGATCACTGAAATGGTTCAAGCTGTCGCAAGTTGAAGCGGCTCAGCAAAAAAATCCAACCAGGGTGAGATTCTGAAAACACGCTTGTTCACGCCGTCTCGCATTTGGGGCAAAGTAAGGAGGTTTTGTGGCCAGTTCGAGAATCACAAAGCTCTTTGCCAGCAGGCACAACGCAAATTGAGCTGACTCCACGGCATGATGTGCGTGGACATCAGCTGTAGACACATGCCTCCAGTTTGTACACGTCAAGCCTTAGACATTCATGGCCAAAGCATAGACAGGCTGCGTGGACAACCCCCCGAAACAACCATTCACGTGTCCGCAGTCTCTTCTGCATTCCTACCACGTTACCAAGACACAATTCTCCGTCTTCTGGTGCTGGGAAACTGTTTCGCCGTACAGAACAGGCCGCACCCATGGCTGCCAAAACAGCATCCAGGGAATCAGCGCCGGCATCCGTCAGAAGCTTCTGAGTCAATGTCCTGGTTAAACATTTCGGAGACATAGGCCATGACAATGTTTAGCTAAATGTTCAAACCACGTGAAAGTGAACGGTGCGACCGGTGCAACTCGCAAGCATGTGAACGGAAGCCAATCCTGTCACCGAAATCCACACGCAGCGTCGATTTGCTCCTGCCTCCCACTGGAATGCCTTTCCTCGTAACGGGAAGCGAGAGAAGCATGGGCACTTCACACACAAACAACAAATACTCGGAACTTCCAAGCAACCTGAGCGATTTCATGATGAAACGACGCCGCAGTCCGTGCTTGACATCCTTTCCCTTGTACGGCTTCGAATACAAGTCCAGGCGCTTCAATAGCGAAGCTGGACAGCTTTCCAGTAACAAATGTTTCTGGCTCCTTGAAATCGGCATGCATGGTGCAACGCAAAACCCATTCTGCGCCAGTGGGAAATAAACACCAGTTATTGCCCACCAGGTTTGCTTGTACATCCGTAAATTCTGAGGGGCCAAAGGCGTCTTATGCCTCACGTCTGTCACCCTCTTGGGCTCGACGCGTGACTTTTTGTCGGGCCCGGTACGCAGCAGTGACGTAGAGTTCCGAAAAGCAGCCGGTGTAGGATAGCTGCGTGAAAATTTTGCCACCCATGTCACCCAATCTTTCTCTGCAATGAACTGTTTGGCAATGCTTGGCGGGCTATCGACGCCCACAATGACCTGTGCTTGGGATTTCGCGACCTCCAACAATTCTGACCGAAGTGCTGCCGTGGCGGTCTCGGGGCTCAAGCCACCACCTGGAAGGTCTCTTGCAGCACGGATGGACACGACGGTCAACGTCCACCCAACGCGCGATCTTTGCAAATCGCAGCGAGCTATAAGCAACCTTGTTGCGCAGGCTACAAAGCATTTGAATTGCCATTGTGCCGTCTGCCACTTCTTACTTGCATCTTAAAAGCTTCTTGCCAGCATCGGACGCTCCACTGAAATCGATTCCGTAAACGGTGGCTGGCTGCACCTCACCAGCAAGGACCCCGTCAAATCAGCCTAGGAATCTTGGACCTGGTGTGCATCCAACATCTCAAACACTTCAAACAAGCTACACCGGGCAGGCTTCCACAAAATTCTGTAAGTCGGATGCAATGTTCTTTTTCAATGAGAATGAGAAAGAATGCTGCACCAAGTTGAGTAGGAAATACCTACCAGCCATGGGCCACGCTTCGCAGCCAGGATTCGCAGCGATCGCCCGGCGCAGCTGTCATGGCGAACTTCTGCAGAGGCGACCCTATTTGAAGAGTGTGAAATCGTTTGCCAAATTTGCTGGCAGCTCCACTGACTTTTGTACTGCGCCTCTTCGTGGAGGAACCCTTCATGCATAAATTAGTGCCGGCGAAGACCGCAAACAGTATAGACGTAAAGATAGGAGGGACATGCTATGGTAAAAAAGTTATTTATGGTGTTTTGCCAATGGATCAATGCCTCAAAATGTAGGACTTGAAAACACTCAAACGTGCATCTAAAGCCAGAAAACTATTTTTGTGTCTCAAACCGCTAGCTGTGGGCCCACTACTGCACGTTCAAGTCACTTCCGTGCCAAAACCGGCGTAGCCACTTGGAAGCCAACTTAAAGCAAAACAGGCACGGCTTCCCGACAAGTCCGAAGCTGTAGCATCTCACGACTACATTTCCGGACTTGGGGACGGCGTTGAGAGTCTAGATTTGTTGAAACCAGTGACAAGGGCGTTTACCAGGCCTTGGAAAATGCATTTAAGCGTTGTCGGAAGCTTCGGGAGCTCGATTTGGGTTCGCGAGCTGGGGCCAGCAAAGCTGGAACAGCTGCAAACACATTTTCCACAAGCCTTGACAAATGCATGTTTGTGCCCTGGAAACCAAACTGCAGCTTTTGCAAGACGATTTCCGGTTTAAGGACGGCATTGAGCTCCAGATTTGTTGAAACGCAGGCCGAATGCGTTTAGCTTGGAAAATGCCTTTGGGCTTGGTCGGTGCTAGAGCTCAATTAAAGTGTCGGGGAAGACCAGGGGCATCAACAAAGCTGAAACAGCTCTACATGCGTTTTTCCAAATTTGGAAGAATGCATTTTGGAGCCTGGAAACCAAATTAAAGCATTTTCGGTGCGATTTTCGGGTGCAGGGACGGCATTGAGCTCCAGATTTGTTGAAACTACGGCCAAATGTTTTTAGTAGGTAGAAAATAAATTTGGGCGTTGGTTCGGAGCTTTCGAGCTCGATTTGGGCTCGGGGCTGGGGCCACGAACGCCGCCGCCAGCAAAGTTGAAACAGTTCTAAACTTCTAAACTCGTTTTCCAAGCTTTGAATATGCATGTTGCTGAGGCCGGCATGGGTGGAACGAACGGCATGAAGCTAATTTGAGGCTGGCTTCAGCAGGGCTTCCGAAGCTTGTGAAGCTCCTCAGCCGCGTTCCGCCCATCAACGCGGGCCACCAGTTCCCACCCACCCGTCCAAAACATCCAAACCTGCAGCTTCCCAGCTCCAGACCCATCCAAACCCGGGTTTGCCGCTCCAGAGCCGCGCTCCACCCATCCATTTTTTTTGCGGATGCGGGCCTCGTAGACAGTGTCAGCTGCGCTCGGTCCCAAACTAAACATCAAAAAGCGGTGAAACAAGAGCCGATTCGGAGACTACTGCAGGTTCACAATCTTCGTTCAGTAAAGCTACGCTGTACATGACGGCTCTCAGCGACAAGCAGAAGCAGCCAAGGGCCGTCGCCCATTAGCCACCCGAAGCAGCGGTGGATCCCCCAATGCAAAGGTCTCCGGCCGTCGTTCTCGTCCCGTCGGACAACGAGCAGCCGGCCCGCAAGCCTCGTTACCGCGTTGTCGTGCACACCAAAAAGTCCATGGCCAAGTCCAAACTTCGTTTCTGCGTTGTCGCGCACACCAAAGTCCAAAGTCCATCCTAAATGCCAACCCACAGGGCGCGGGCGACATGATACGGCAAGGGCGGAAGTTGGCAGTGATGGCAGTTATGTCAGTGACAGAAGCGGCGTTCTCGCACTTACTAACCGCGACGTTCACCGACACTGTCGCACCCAAGGCAGAAGCCACGCGACAGCGCACAAACTACAAAGCAGAGCCCAAACCAGAAGCTGAAGAGAAGCGGCGTTCTCGCACTTACTAACTGCAACCCTGCAACAAAGGAAAGGAGGCTGCCCGAAGCAGCCGACAAGCGCCAAACCTGCAAGAGAGACCCGAAAAAACCTTTTCCCACGAACACCTCGGACAAGTTAGACGCCGCACGAAAACGAACTAAAGACAAGGAGCCCAAACCCGAAGCTGAAAAGAAGCAGCGTTCTCGCGCTTACTAATTGCAACCTTACAACAAAGGGAAAGGGCACTGCCCGATGCAGACGACAAGCGTCAAACCGGCAGGAAGGCAAGGGCGAAAGTTGGCAGTGATGGCAGTTATGTCGGTAACAGAAGCGGCGTTCTCGCACTTACTAACCGCAACGTTCACCGACAGTGTCGCACCCAAGGCAGAAGCCACGCGACAGCGCACAACATGCAACAAAGAAAAGGGCTGCCCGAAGCAGCCGACAAGCGCCAAACTGGCAGGAGAGACTCGAAAAAAACCTCTTCCCACGAACACTGCCGGACAAGTCAGACGCCGAGCGAAAACGAACCAAAGACAAGGAGCCCAAACCCGAAGCTAACGAGAAGCACCGTTCTTGCGCTTACTAACTGGAACCGAACAACAAAGGGAAGGGCACTGCCCGATGCAGATCAAACCGGCAGAAAGGCAATGGGGAAGTTGGCAAGAAGCAGCGTTCTTGCGCAACCTGGCAATAAAAGGGAATGGCACTGTAAAAGAGACCCGAAGAGAGCCTCTTTCCACATCTTGCAACCAAGAAAAGAACTTACTCATTTTTGTAGACACCTGCGTGCACTCGCAAACCCATGCAAGCAAGAAGGGCGTTCCAATCCGATACGTCCATAGACGCTTCCAGTAGATACAAGTCAGCAACAATTGGTCTTGGTTACGAATAACCAAGAGAGGCAGATTGTCAGTGTTTATGAACTTCAAGAACTACAGGCATTCAAAAGAACATAACCAAGATGAAAACACCAAGAATCTCTAAGCAGAAAAAGCGATCATCCGTTTCCAAAACTGGCACCCAAAGCACATATCTACAAAGATCTGTAAGTATTGCGGTCCACCCACTCAGACTTCCAAAAAGAAGACTCAGTTACCATCTATACAGACTCGCAGTACGCTCTCTCACTTCTATTTGGCTCTTCTACGCCAGTCGTCCACCATGTTAAACATTGCGACTACCCCTTGCACACCTACAACATGAAGAGCTTCATGTCGGATTTCCTTCTTCTGTCCCGTTACTTGTACTGCATGGGGTTATGATGAGCGGCTGGCGTCGGCAAAACGCCAGCACTCATCGTAATGATGTTGGCAATTGTTCGATATCATATCAGCCAGCTGGACTTGCATGAGAAGCCTTCCTGGCGACGGGCTAAGTTTCTTGACAATTTAGACATCGTGTGCCTCAAATTCATGCTGGCGTCTTTTGGACGATCCCAGTGAGAAAATTGACATGGATGATTTCAAGTTCTTCACTACCGCAGAGGATGTTGAACCTTCGGAAGACAAAGCCGCCTCGTCACAAAGTCTCAAATCCTGCTAAATCGGTGCAAAAGCAGCCTTGTTCCCTTCAAGTTCCAAAACCCAGCCCCCCAAGCTCTTTTGACCTACTGGCTAGTTTGCAGAATTACCCCTGGTATTCACGCTGAAGACTCCTTTCCAAAACAGAGCTGTCAGCTCGCCACACCAGAAAAAGGAGTGATACGCCTCTTTCTACAACTCAATTGAAACTGCTCTCCTCGCGAAAACCAACAACACTCTATCTTTCACATCTCCACATTGCGCAATATTATTGCCTCTACAGATGGCTCCTGTCCTGTAACCGCATCGTCTCTTTTAAGAACTCCGCTAGGGTTTTGCCCTTACCTCACATCACGCACTTCCTTCGCACCCACCAGTCGGATGACTGGATAGCTGGAGTAAGATTCGCTCAGAACCCACAACATACCTCCCAGATGGCAAATAACACCCGCGAACTTAAAGCGGTACGAATCTCAAAAGAAAATATTGCCAAGTTCTCAATGAACAGGCCGCCTTAAATCTAACACGGCGGCAGAAATGGCGGCAGTGTGTGTTGGCATTGGAGAAGAATGTGTCGGAAGTTGAAAACACGTTTTCTGTGAAACGAAATACGTGGCGCAGCAGCAGGTATCTGTCCAGTAAATGATTGACAGGTCAGAGACTCACTTTCGGAACGGTAGGTCCTGAAAGGTTTGCGGAATTTCTAAACCATGCCCCTCAAGGAGCTCCATTCTCTTTCCATATCCAGAATTTTGTCGCCCGCCGATGACGTGCGCGCCCACGTGCTTGGGGTGGGCATTGTTGGGGTCTAACCGCTCATTACAATCTCCCATGAGGATGATATGTGACGAGTTCGGATGTTCAGAAGTATTTCCGTCAAATCCTCCCAGAAGGAGGTTTTTCTATTTCTGTCCTTTCTCTGCGTCATCCACAGTGCTGGACGCATCAATATTAAAAAATAGCAGTGGGGGGTGTGTCGAATGTGATTTTGCAGATGCGAGAGGAGTGTCTTAAAGGAAACCTCCGCCATGATGAATTTCTTTCGGATGGTCTGACATGAGGATTTCGCATCCAAACTTACAAAAGGAATAAGAGGAGAGGTTGACTTTGTTTCTTGCGCGCATAAAGTGATACTTTATTTGTTTTGCAAAACTTTGATCATATCATACTTCGCCCTTTTTCGAGTCTTTCAACGTTCCAAGTCATCAAACTGGTGCACGTGGGAAACTGAAATCTTGGAAACTGCGTCTCTGGTAGAATTGACCGTCGCAAGGTTGTCAGAAACTGGGACGCTTTGAATCTAGCACAAAGGCACTGCACAGCGTCGGCTTCAAGTGGATCGGCCGTGCACTCAGTGGAGGCGCAG